AAAAAAAAAAAAAAAAAAAAAGAGTAGCAAAGAAATTAAGTGCCTTTTCCCAAAACCAACTGGTAAAAGGCATAGCTGAGGTTTAAAACCAGGTCTCCCTCACTCCAAGGCTGTGATCATTTCCTTATGGCTTCTCTGAATAAACAAGCCCCAAAATCAGTTTGAGAAACAAAAGCCTCGTTGGTCCTGTGAAAGCAGAAACTTCTTAAAGCCGAAATGAAGTTGTTCAGAGAAACCGTGGTTGAGCTACCAGAAAAGTAAAACTTCTAACATCAAAAACGAGCCTGAGCCATTTATCCGTCAGGTTAATGTTTTGAGTGATTTGAATTTACTTTTCCTACATACTGGAACTTGCCTTTCTGAACACTTTCTGGCTTGGCTTACACTAGTTGACTTACCAGGGCTTTTTCTAAAAATTATTTTTGCGGTATGACCTCAGAATCTTGCTGGGCCCCAAGGCATTTCTCATTACAACCCATGCACATTTAGGTAACTGAATCACATCCTTACTAACGGCTCTCTTTCTACCTCAGAGTCATCACCCAGTTGTGATTATGTAAGAGACAGTCAGGCCGCATTACTCCTTGCGGTTTGCGCTGGTCCAGCCTCATCCAAATAACACAGTACCCAGCATTACTTGGGCAAGAGATGGCTGTCTCGAAATTGTTTTTTACTTCAAAAAAAAAAAAAAAATGACTTGGTAATTCTGATTCCTCACTTGAAATTGGCTTTCAGTTAAAAAGAACTTCTCAAAATAGTCTACCCTCCTCCTTTATCAAGGACACCTATTCAAATTTGTTTCCTTAAAATGTTAGCAAATTCAGAAAGTGCCAAACCACAAACCAAGAGCAACTGTTTTCACCCTACCCCATGGCCATTCTTCATGTCAAAGATTTATGAAACAAATTAATAATACAATTATTAAAAAGAAGGTACTTTTTAAACATTAAATATTTTAAACACTATCTTTTTCAACAATAGGTTAACTAGATTAAAATACCATAAAACAAAAATAGCACAGCAACAAAAACTAGCATTAATCCTTTAAAGGATTTAAAAGCTATACCTTTAAAGATGATTGTTTCAAACTGAGCATTCAAAAGATAATCACAACAGGGGCGCCTGGGTAGCTCAGGTTAAGCATTCAACTGTTGATTTCAGTTCAGGTCATGACCTCAGAGGTTCCTAGGACTGAGACCCGAATCAGGCTCTATGCTTAGCAGGGAACCTGCTTGGGATTCTCTCTCTTCCTCTCTCTCTGCCCCTCCCCTTGCTCACTAAGGCACTCGGTCTCTCTCAAAATAAATAAATAAATAAACACTTTTTTTATTTTTTATTTATTTATTTATTTTTCAACGTTTATTTATTTTTTGGGACAGAGAGAGACAGAGCATGAATGGGGGAGGGGCATAGAGAGAGGGAGACACAGAATCGGAAACAGGCTCCAGGCTCTGAGCCATCAGCCCAGAGCCTGACGCGGGGCTCGAACTCACAGACCGTGAGATCGTGACCTGGCTGAAGTCGGACGCTTAACCGACTGCGCCACCCAGGCGCCCCAAATAAACACTTTTTTTAAATCCCTTCAAATGATAATCACAACTAAGTAGATTTCATCATGCACATGTACTCTGTTTTAAACAATTAAATTCACACAGTTTCAGATATTTTTGCGGGAAAACCCTAAAAGCCAGTTCAATGTCTTGCCTCAAAACTTTACATTAAAAAAAAAAAAAAACCTACCTAAGATGAAAGCAGCAGTATAATTTTTGGATCTCTCCAAATCTATGCATAAAACAGACAAAGCAACTAAACAGCAACATCAAAAACCTAAGAACAATGTATACAACAAACACCATATTATCTGAGGTCTTGTCATAGGGCTCAAACACGAGTCTGATCAGGCCTGTGGATCCAGCTCCCAGACCACAGGAAATGCAGAGGACAGAGAAAACAGGTGAAGTGCACCATGAGAGGGAAAACAACAAGATTCAGACCAGGGAAACATCCACAGGATTCTTCCAGAGATAAATTGTTAGGGATAAAAGGGGGGGGGGGAGCAGAGGAAAGAGGACAATGGAAGGGAAACTTGTGATTTAAAATGTCCTGAAAAAGCCACAAATTTATGCTTAAATGGGTAGGATTAAACTATAGTATAGTAGTCTTGGGATGTACAAATGGTGATAATACTATAAAGAAATACAGGGAAGCATTTACTTTATTTTTTTTAAGTTTACTTATTTATGTTTGAGAGAGAGAGAAAGCGTGACTGGAGGAGGGGCAGAGAGAGAATCCCAAGCAGGCTCTGAGCTGTCAGCAGAGTCTGAATGGGGCTCGAACCCATGAACTGTGAGATCATGACCTGAGTCAAAGGTGGACAGTTAACTGAGTGAGCCACCCAGGTGGCCCAGGAAGCATTTACTTTAAAAAGCAGGATAGCTTGATCTGATCTCAGCTCAGGTCTTGATCTCACAGTCATGAGTTCAAGTCCTGCACCCGGCTCTGCACTGGGCATGAAGCTTACTTAAAAAATAAAAAAATAAAAAGCAGGATAATGGCAACTTTAGGGACAGAGAACGGGGACAAAGCTGTGGTTCATGGAGGGGGTTACTGGGACAGGCAGCAAAATTCTTGTTCCTGACTTAAGTGATAGTTACAAACATGCTCACCTTAGAACACTCAGTAAACTAAACATTTGCTTTGTGCGGTTTCTGTATTTGTGTTTTATTTTACAATAAAAAGGCTTTATTAAAGGAAAATCTGTATCACCAGTGCTGTCACAAAAAGAACATTTATGACATTTAAAATAATTACATTCATTTAAAAGTTGTATGACTTATTTTAAATAATTATATGAAAATAAATAATATTATAAAATAATTACATGAAAGTAAACAATATTACTAAATTCTGTTAGCTACTGTAGCCTGGGGAAGGTTCCAAGGTCAATTTTGCATGTTTAAAAGGAGACTAACAAGTGTCACCTAGTGCTAATGACGTTATCACTCAAATGAGACTTAGGCCTTGATGTATTCAGGTTTAGGAAGAGACCTGAAAAGGGAATATCTGTCTCACTCCATGATTCAGGATTAGCTTATGCTTAGCTGCCTACCACCTTAACTTAACTCCTGTTTCACTTCAAGTCCCCCTCCTGGGCCATCCCATATGCTATGCTTGTGGAAACACTGGGTTAAAAAAAGGTCTGGTGCATGAGGCTATGTCAGGCCTAAGAAGGGGTTGAAAACAAAAACTTAGCTCTCTCAAATCACGAATAGATTCATCGTATTCATTCCAGCCGTTTCTAAACATGCTTAAAAGCTTTGCTTTTCCATTATGAGCATTTAAGCAAGTGAGCAACACTAGGATCCCGTGAGAGCGGCTTGTTATTGTCCTAGTTACAGCCACACACTCTTCGCTAGGCACTTACAGGGCACCTTCAGAGCCTAGCAATAATCTGCCTGTGCCTTTATGCCTAATGTGTTTGGAGGTTCTCAAGTGACAGGAGGCTCTGTATCTAAAAGAGCAAATTACAAAAATAAGTACAGATGCCCTCCCTCATCTGAGCTCCATATCTTAGAACAAGGTACTGCATCCTGAGTTGCTGGCTCATCAACCCTAGGCCAATGTGACCTCAAAGGCCTTCAAAAAAAAAAAAAAAAAAAAAAAAAAAAAAAAGGATCGGATTACATAGTAGACTTGTAATAAAAACTTGTAATGAGCAAAGAAAACTGAAATTCAGATGCAGCTTGGTCACGTTTTAAAAACATTTATGTAAAACACATACAAAAAAGTGGGCTGATTCTCCTATAAATGAATTGAGAGCAAGTCTGGTTTCATCTCATGTCTCCCCCATCACTTTTGCTACAGTCATTGGAAAAGAAAGAAAACGGGAGCCAGGACAGTTTAATTTTTTTGGCACTACTGCTCACAAGAGAGAACAGTGACACCAATACAGAAAGACCAAGTTCAGCCAACTGAAAGGGAATCTGTGTAACAAAGGAAGATTAGGGTTGAATTCCTGTCTTCAATCTCTGTATCTTAATCAGTCTCCCTTGCAATCAAGGCGGCCCCCAATTCCCTTCTCTCTCACCACCTCCTGCCTCTTCTGCATTCCCTAACCTCTTTGTTTTGTGAAACTTCAACCTCCTAGCTTACCCACACCCCTTCCCTTGTTCTTATACTTTCTGCCTCCTTCTGAGATGTGTGTAAACAAATATTCAAACATACAGAAATCCCAAGTTCCGCTCACCACACAGGTTATGGAAGCCCAGTGCACTATTCCCATGATTTCTGAGAAAAACACACCTAATTCACATTCCCTGGATCCTCTCTATGAAAGCAGGTACACCCTGGGTGGTAAGGCCAGTTCTGTGGCTCAGTGTCTTGTGACTATCCAGAGCAAAGGTCCTCCTTTCATGAATACTACTCTGATCATAGGAATTCATGAATGTTTAATTAAATAGGAAGCTCCCTCTCCACACTGGCACCTGATGAGGTCAAGACTTTAAGAAGAGAACTTAAAAAAAAAATTCACATTTAAGCCTCCATTCTAGACATGACTGTAAGTAAAAGAAACCCAGGAACATCTAGTGGCCAGCTGAGTTTTCCTCAGCAACACAATGTGTCACTCAGGTGCACAAGACAGAAACCCAAGTCAGACCCACCACTTCTTCAAACACCATCCTGGACTTGTGGCATTTTCAATTCAAGGTGGTCTGGCCCATGGGCCTGTTAGCACAATAAAATTTAGAGCAGAAATGGTTAGGTGCTGGGGGTGGTGAGGAGGGTGGCACTTGTAGTTTGGAGTTTTCAAGCCCTTTCCAACAAGCAGTAGAAAAATGTGAGAGTCTGTTTAAACATTACTCACTGCCTGCTGGATATCAGTCTTCACTTGCTCACTCAACATGCCTTCAAAGACAAAGGAGTCACCAAACTTCTCAGCCTGAAAGGAAAGAAGGCAATAAAAATCCAGGAATGTTGGAGTAACATGTTTCACAAGTACCATTTTCTTTGCACACTGTTAAAGTGATTCTTCTTGTCCAGATGAACTTAAGTTTTTCTTATGACTTCCCAGAGGATTCAGAAATGACTTAAAAGCATCTGGCTTCCTATTAAAACAGGTTAATATCACTTACAGAGGCCACTGTCTTTTCAGGTTCATTTAGCTGATAAGAACGCAGACTGGAAGAGATTAGCTTTTGAGAATGTGATTGCTCCTGTTGATGGAAATGCATCTCCCCAAGTATTACAAATGACTTGGAAATAATAGTATTCCTTACATGTCAGATTACATAATCAACCTTTGTCCTTTGTTCTGCTGCTGCAATCTAGCTAAAAGAACTAAATGGCATTGCTTGCTGATATTCTATCAGATACTCTGATAGATGATACTCTGGCTCCATGAAAGTGTCAACTGTGTTTATAAATCTCAAGTGGCCAATTCAAGCATCAGATGGAAATTTGTATTTTGATTATTTTCGTTTAACATTACCGTCTCAAGTCCTCATCTACCTGGTCTTATTTGTTGCATGTGACCTCATTCTGCAAATGCCTACATTAACCCCTTGGTCTCCATGGTTCTATTCTGCTAGTTTTCCTCCTCTTTCTGACTCTTCCTCCTCATCCCCTGAAATACACAGACTCTTCTTCTAGTCTCTAGACCACTGTTCCTCCCTAGTGCTCTGTCTGGGCTCTCTACTCTTCTCTCACTACACCAGTGGCTCTTGGGCTTTGCGCAGTGGAGATCACCTGGCCAGCCTATCAAAACTACACATTACTGCTTCTCAGTTCCAGAGATTTTGATTCTGGAGGTCTGGGGTGAGGTCAAGGAACCTGCATATGTGAACAGCTCAGCTGGTGATTCTAACACAGGTGGTCCAAGAGATCACACTTTGAGATACAGTGACAAACTGCTACACAAAATCCTTCAGTCTCATCCCTTTAATGGCCACCAGCACACACTGCAATTGACGCTCACATCTCTACCTCCAGTCCTATCCCCACTAGATGATATTAACTGCCTACTGGATCCCTGTAGTTCAGGCCTTACAGACAGCTCAAACTCCTTTTCCTCATCAGAGCTCATCATCTTTTCTTCTCCCCTGCTCTTCTTCCTTCTTCCCTTGTGGGGACATGCCTAAGCATCTAAGCCAACCTTTCATCCAATGAACATGTATCAAACACCCATCTCTGTTCTGTGCCTGACTATGAACTAAATGACAGAGATACAAGATCAATATAAAATAGGCACAGTCCCTGTCTTAAGAGCAGTTACTTGGTGCAAGGGGAGGATGCAGACAAAAAAAATCAAATCAAAGAAAAAAAAAGGAAGAAAATAATTACAACTTACTTGACCCTGTAAGATGAAGAGTATCAAGAAAAGCCTCTGTTTGATAGAGTGCGCCGAGAAAGCCTTCTTGAGAAGGAAACATTAAGCTGATACGAATCAAGAAAGAGAAGAAGCCAGCCACAGTAAGAGGGGGACAGGCAAGGAGAGAGGGAAACTCCAAGCAGGAAAAAAAAAATATGGGCCACTGGGGTACCCAGGAGGCTCAGTCGGTTAAGTGTCTGACTCTTGGTTTCAGCTCAGGTCATGATCTCAAATTCGTGGGTTCAAGCTCCATGTCAGGGTCTATGCTGACAGTGTGGAGCCTGCTTGGGATTCTGTTTCCCTCTCTCTCTCTCTCTCTCTCCGCCCCTCCCCAACTCACGCTTTCTCTATCTCTCTCAAAATAAATAAATACACTTTAAAAGAAAAAAAATACGGCTGAGATCTCAAGATGGAAAAGAATGCTGAGTTTTCAAGGAATAGAAACAAGACCAGCTGGGCTAGAACATGGTGAGTAAGTAGAATGTGATATGAAATGAAGATGCAGGGGAAGAAAAAAAATGTAGTGTCATAAAAAGATGAAGTATTTATGCAAAGTAGGGGTTCTTAACACTTTTTGTGCCCTGGACCCTTCAGGCAGTATGGTGAAGCTTAGGGGCCTCCTTCTCAGAATGAAATGTTTAAAGGCATAAAACAAAATCAATATGATTACAAAGAAAACTAGTTATGTATAAATATTAATAAGGTTAATTTATGCTATAGTAATATACATGTCCTCTTTATTAATAATATTAAGTGAGATCTAGTGGAAGGTCTCATAATTATCATTTCTAAAGTGGGGATAAATGCAAATATTTTAAGATATATACAACAACAATAATGTGACAAAAAACATTTGTGATTTCTATTGGTGACAAAGTTAGAGGTGCTACTACCATTAGTATGATTTGTCATCTGCCTCAGAATTGAAGGAAAAGCTAAATTTTAGTAAAAAGCTAGATGTCACTTTTCCCCATCCATGTTCCTGGGTGCCCTAAATTCTGTTGATTCTATCTTCTTTATGTTAAATGCTAATCTGAAGAGAGCTCCTCTCCTTCCAAGTCTTCTTCGAACTTACGTAGACTATTGAGGAAACTGATCTGAGAGGAACCTTATGAAACAACGAAAAAAAGAGGGACTTCTTGTACTCTAAACACATATAAAAGAGAAAAACACTTTATATATTTTAGGAAATTCAAAGGAATGTGATGCTGCATAACCACTGTTTGAACACTTTTGCTTTCAACATTTACTCTCAAATTACTATTTTTTTTTAAGATTTTATTTTTAAGCAATCTCTACACACAATGAGGGGCTCAAACTCACAACCATGAGATCAAGAGTCATATGCTCCACCAACTGAGCCAGCGAGGCTCCCCTCAAATTACTTTTTTACTTAAAAGAGAAAACTGAGGGGCACCATGATGACTCAGTTGGTAGAACATCTGAGTCTTGATCTCAGCTCAGGTCTTGATCTCAGGGGTATGAGTTCAAGCTCTGCGTTGGGCTCCATGCTGGGCATAAAGCCTACTTTAAAAAAAAAAAAAAAAATGATGTCTTGGGCCTGGGCAGGGGGAAATAAAACAAAACAAGGATCCCACAAACTGAAGGCGAGGGTAAAGTCCTCTGGTGAGAGAAAATGGGAAGTCTACAAAAGTATACTCTAGACACTTAGAGAAAGTTTCATAAACTAGAAAGCCTCCATCTACTTATTCCCTTTTAGAATAAATATCCACTTTCAGAACTTTGCTTTGGGATTCAGAACCAGAGAATAATCTGGAACTGCTACAGGAGAGCTTATGGGTTGTCAGGCATTGAAATAAAACCACAAAAATGAAAAGCTGCACTTCTGCATCTATAGCTTAATGAAATATGTAACCAAACTGCAATTTTTTGAGAGGGAAAAAGTGGTCTTACTCTAGATGCTATGTGCTATCTCAAAAACCCCGAGCAGTGGTACTCTGCATATTAAAGCCCAGACACAATATAGGCTACTGGTTAAGAACACAGGCCCTGCCATCTCACTAGCCAGGCCTGAATCCCAGCCCCAACACTAGCTGTGTAACTCAAGGCAAACCACTTTCTAATCCTCAGTTTCCTAAAACATAACTGGCCTCATGGGGTTGTTATGAGAACTAGATTAGATGAAATATACATAAGGTGTTGAACATGGTATTGGGCACATAATAGAAAGTGGATAATCGATATTAGAAAGGAACAAGTTCGGGGCACCTGGGTGGCTCAGTCAGTTAAGCGTCCAACTTCAGCTCAGGTCATGATCTCGTGGTTCATGGGCTCAAGCCCTGTGTTGGGCTTTGTGTTGACAGCTCTGAGCCTGGAACCTGCTTCAGATTCTGTGTCTCCCCCTCTCTCTGCCCTTCTCCCACTCATGCTGTGTCTCTCTATCTCTCAAAAATAAATAAACATTTAAAAATTTTTTTTTAGAAAACACCAAGTTCTTCCTCCCCGTCCCAACCCTATTACCTCTGTCAAATAGCCAGTTGAGTTCACAAACTTCTCAAATTCAGCATTACTGACTTCATAGGCATCCATGTAAAAGGCATCAATAGCAACTCTCCTTGCAGGTGCTTCCCCATCTTGCTTTATCTGAGGATCATCTGTGCCCATTGTAAACACTCCGGCGGGGATGAGGACCATCTGCAGCGAAAGGGGAGACGAGGAGTTGTGCCATCAGAGCCAAAGTGGACCTGTGTCAAGCACAGAGCACCTAGCACACAATAAGCACCCAAGGTATCACATGCCCACCACATAAATCACTGCACAGTGATATCACTCATGCTCCTGTGCAAGTCTCAAAAACACGTGAAAATTCTTTCGCAAGGTAGTTTCCTTAATCAAAACTCTACATGATACATGCCGTGGAAATAGGTCTGGAGCAATAAATAGTCACCAAGCTGCTAATGGCTGGAGTGCAAAGGCAGGGAAAATATTCTACTTTTTTATACATTTCAGTATGATTTTCCTTTAATATGCTCTCATTTCCTTTGAATTTTTTCAAATTTTATTTTTAAAAATAAAATCAAATGCAAAAATGCCATATATCATATTCTTAAAAACCATTGAGTGAATGTGGGTCTCCAATGAAATAGAAAAGACTTAAATCACTGAAATGGAAAATGTAAAAAGTTTAATAAGGGACCATGTCTTGCCCTTATTATGTCCTTGTCCTTAATTGATTCCTTATTAAAACTCTAATTGCAATTACTTTGCTCCTATCTATGGTCTCAAATAAAATCTAATCTCCAAGAGAGCAGTGGACTGCCTTGTTCACAACTGTATGTCTAGCCCTAAACAGAGCACCTAAGGACTGCACCGAATATATTCACCTAACAAATGCAAGCCTATGCTCAACATCATGAATCATTAGAAAAATATAAGTAAAAACTAAAAAGAGACTCTACTTCATGCCCACTAGCATGACTACAACCAAACAGATTGACAATAACAAGTATTGACAAGGATGTGGAAGTTGGAACCTTCACATATTGCTGGAAGGAATGTGAAGTGATGCAGCTGCCTTAGAAAGCAGTCTCTTGGTTCTTTAAAAATCTAAAAACAGAGTTACCATATGACCCTGCAATTTCACTCCTACAAAGATATCCAAGATAAATGAAAACAAATGTCCACGAAGAAACCTCCTACACAAATGTTCAGAGTAGCATTATTCACAACAGCCGAAAAAACAGAAACTCAAATGTCCATCAAATGACAGATACACAAAATGTGGTACATCTATAAAATGAAATATTACTCAGCCATAAAAAGAAATGAAGTGCCAATACAGATTACAATATGGATAAACCTTGAAAACATTATTCTACGTGAAAGAATCTACTCACAAAAGGCCACATCTTGTATGATTCCATACCTTTGAAATGCCCGGAACAGACAAATCCAAAGAGACATAGTGTAGACCAGCAGTTGCCAGAGGTAGGAGGAAAATAAAAATGGGGAATGACTGCTAATGGATACAGGGTTTCTTTTTGGGGGTGATGCAACGTTCTGGAATTACTGATGCTGGTTGTGAAACCTTGTGAATGAGATATGAAACACTGAACTGTTCAACTCACAAAAGTGAATTTCATGGTATGTCATTCTATCTCATTTTTTTTAAGTTTATGTATTTATTTTGAGAGAGAGAAAGACAGCATGCACACACATGCAAGCAGGAGAAGGGCAGAGAGGGGGGAGGGAGAGAATCCCAAGCAGGATCCACACAGTACAGAACCTTGATTTGGGGCTCAATCTCATGAACTGTGAGATTGTAACCTGAGCTAAAATCAAGAGCCAGACAGGTAACCAAGTGAGCCACCCACGCATTCCTATCTCAATGTTTAAAAAAAAAACACACACACACACACACAACCATACCATCTGTCAGAAATATACTCTGCAGGCACAGTATCTTACTTTCTAATCAGCTGAATGACAAATCAATTCATTGACCTCCTGGCAGCTTAAGAATTGTGAGGTATCTAATCTATAAAATAAGGGTTCTCAGGGTGCCTGGATGGCCCAGTCAGTTAAGTGTCTGACTCCTGATTTCAGCTCAGGTCATGATCTCACAGTTTCATGGATTAGAGCCCCACAATGGGCTCTGCACTGACAGTATGAATGGAGCCTGCTTGGGATTCTCTCTCTCTCCCTCTATCTCTGCCCTTCCCCCACTCACACTATCTCTGTCTCTCTCAAAAATAAGTAAACTTTAAAATAAAATAAAATAAAATAAGGTTCAAATTGAGGAAGGAAAAAGAGGAAGTCAAAGAGAAATAACTAGGAATAAAAAGAAAGAATGTGGGTTAGCAGTAACAGCAGAAGATCTGGAAAAACAAGATCAGAAGAAATGGAAAGTAGTAATCAACAATCATTGATTCCTACTATTTCCATTGATTATCTTTGCTAGTGGTTGTCTTTAATTCTATGCATATATTTCCCAATAAAAATGAAGCTCTTTTCATCTATGATATATGGGTAATAAATGCTTATTATTTGTCCAATGTATTACTATTCCTCTAAGGAATCATGCTTGGGGCACATGGATGGCTCAGTTGGTCAAGTGTCTGACTCTTGATTTCAGCTCAGGTCACGATCTCATGGTTGGTGAGACCACATGCGTGCACACACATGTACACTCCCTCTCTCTCAAAATAAATAAGTAAACTTTGAAAAAAAATCATGCCTGACTATTCCTGTCCCCTAATCCCAGCATTACAGAGGTCACCGTGTCTTACTGGATCTCCTAAATGTATTTCCCTCTGATTTGTCCCCTCTTTTCTATTCCCAGACAACTGCAGGAGCCTCACAACCAGTCACCCTGTCTCCAGTCTCATCCTTTCACATCCCTCCTTGCTCCATGCTAAGCTGTTTATCTTCTGTTCAGTCATTCATTCAGCAAATATTTAAGGACCTACTGAACTTTCTGAAATGCCAATCTTTGGTATCCAATACAATTTATTACAGCTCTGTTTTTAACAGAAGATTGGAAATAACCTAAATGTCCATCAGAAGTAGACAGGTTAAGTAAATTGTGGACCATCCACAAAACAGAAAGTTAAACATCCACAAGTAAAGGAAATACATAATAAATATATTTACCAATATATAGTAAACATAGTGGACTAATCACTTATAAAGCTAGCATGAAGATTAAAAGACACAGAAAGTGAAAACAACTCATCACAATAACTAGTTAAGGGATATGTAAAATGAAAAGATACAAAATGAGATATCAAAAACATGAAATATGGCAGCAGGGAGTAAAAATGTGACACTTTAGAATGCAATAAAACAAGTTATCAACTTAAAAATAGGCTATATAAAAATCTCATGGTTGTTATATGAAAACCTCATGGTAATCACATAGTGAAAACCTATAGTAAATACACAAAAGATAAAGGAAAAGGAATATAAGCATACCCCTAAAGTAACCAATCAAACCACAAAGAAGGAGAGCAAGAGAAGAAAAGAGGAACAGAGAGGAATAACAACAACAAAAGCCAGAAAACAATGAACAAAATGGCAATAAGTACATACCTATCAATAATTACTATAAATGTAAATGGACTAAACTATCCAATCAAAAGACAAAGAGTGACTGAATAAATTAAAAAACAAGAACCATCTATATGCAGTCTACAAGACACTTACTTTATTTTTTTTTTTTTAATTTTTTTTTTCAACGTTTATTTATTTTTGGGACAGAGAGAGACAGAGCATGAACGGGGGAGGGGCAGAGAGCGAGCGAGACACAGAATCGGAAGCAGGCTCCAGGCTCTGAGCCATCAGCCCAGAGCCCCACGCGGGGCTCGAACTCACACACCGCGAGATCGTGACCTGAGCCGAAGTCGGACGCTCAACCGACTGAGCCACCCAGGTGCCCCCAAGACACTTACTTTAGAGGTAACCACACACAGACTGAAAGTGAAGGAAAGGAAAAAGATATTCCATGAAAATGGAAACCAACAGGAAGCTGGAGTAGCTATACTTACATCAGACAAAATCAACTTTAAAACAGAGACTACAATAAAACACAAGGAGCATTACATAATGATAAAGAGGCCACTCCAACATGGGGATATAACACTTGTAAAAATGTATGCAACCAACATATGTAAATATATAAACATGTAAATAGATAAACCAAATATTAATAGACCTAAAGGGAGAAATAGACAGCACCACAATAATATATCCCACTTATATCAATGGATAGGACACCCAGATAGAAAATCAATGAAGAAACCACAACCTTAAACAACACATTAGGTCAAATAGACTTAACAGACATATACAGAACATCCCATCCAAAAGCAAAAAATACACATTCTTCTCAAGTGCACATGGAACACTCTCCAGGATAGATCCCATGATAGGCCACAAAACAAGTCTTAATAAATTTAAGAGGTCTGAAATCATGTCAAGCAACTTTCCAAGCACAATGATATGAAACTAGAAATCAATTCCATAAAGAAAACCACAAAATTCACAGTTACATTAAGATTAAACAACAGGCTACTTATCAATCAAGGGGTCAAAAAAGAAATCAAAACATAAATTTAAAAAATATGAGACAAATAAAAATGGAAATATACTAAAATTTATGGGATGCAGCAAAAGAAATTCTGAGAAATTCAGAGCAATAAATGAAGAAACCAGTTCTTTAAAAAGATAAAAATGATAAATCCTTAGCTAGACTCACCAAGAAAAAAAGAGAGTGGACTCAGATAAATAAAATCAAAAATGAAAGAGAAGATATTACAAATGATACCACAGAAACACAAAGGATCATAAGAAACCACTATGAACAATTATATGCCAAAAAATTGAACAACCTAAAAAACTGGAAAAAATTTCCAGAAACATACAACCTACCAGAATGAATCATGGAGAAACAGAAAATCTGAACAGACTGATTACTACTAAGGAACTTGAATCAGTAATCAAAAACCTCCCCCAAAAAACAAAAGTCTAGAACCAGACAGCTTCACTGGGGAATTCTACCAAACATTCAAAGAAGAATTATTACCAATCCTCCCCAAACATTTCCAAAAAACTGAAGAGAGAGAACTTCCGAACTCATTTTATGAGGTCAGTATTATCCCAACACCAAAACCAGACAGGATGCTGCAAGAATAAGA